CCCCAAAACCCCAAAACCCCAAAACCCCATGATGATATATTTAAAGTAACAGGGATATGTATTATTTTTAAGGAAATTATGGTTTAATTATAAAATAAAATATACTTTGTGATAAGGTAATAATATAGATCCTCTAGGGATCTAAGATGACTTCAAATGGATTTCATGAATCAAATAGTTTGTAGTGAATTCAAAGGAGATGGAAACTTACTCTCTTCTTTCTATCTTGATGTTCAAAAGATGCTGTTATTAAAAACTGATGTTCTATTAAAAAGTGTTTAGTTCATTGAGGTAATGTCCTTGTAAAGCTACTACTTCTGAGGAATTAACTGAGCAGTAGCAGTTTCTTACTTTAAACTGTTCAAATATGTGTTGAAGTAAATTGATCCCTAATCTAATTGGAAATGTACAACTTATGGTACTGAGGTGTAGAAAAGTTGCTCTCTATTTTCATCCAAAACAAATTCTACCATTTAATTTGCAACAATCTCTGACTAAATCTCATACTCATCTAATGATTCCTCATTTTAAAGGCTCATCTGTTTAATCTTCTGTGAATTTAGTTGAGACACAGGTTGTTTCTAAATTGGCTTCATGATTTGAGCCTTTGAGCCAACATTCAAAGTTTTTATATTCTCTGGATTTAATACTGACTCCTTTGGTGCATTAGTTTATATTTAAGTATTATTGGAGGAATTCTATTGCTGACAAGTGGCTTCATTGTTCTTGAATTTCCGAGGTACAAATGATTGAGAATTTACCTTCATGTCAATGGGTTAGTTATTCTATTAAAACATTTATGGTGAGTTTGAGTAGAGCTAACCATTGTATAGTATATGATAGTTCATTTGGTTCTCCATTTGAGAATTATAGTAGTGGATAGATGGATTTGTCATTTCATATTTAGGAGAGCTTTACATAATTTAAGCAGGAGATACTGGCGTTTACTGATTGATATAGGAAGGAACATTAACTAAATTTTGATAGGAAATGGGATGGAGTGGCTATCTTATGTTAGACATTTATTAGCTCTGGGGAATCTGCTACACTTGGTAAAAAGCATTAGCCTGCTGCTAAGCCATTTAAATTTACTACTATTGCATTAGTTGCATCTATTTAAAGTGAGCTAACTATTAATTCTGAGACTGCTAGACTGTCTAATGACTCTAGTTCAAGATTGTACTCTATGGCTAATTAGACACAAATGCATTATCATTAGCATTATTTGCTTTCTCAGAATTCAATTTCACTTGCTTCTACTAAAGCGGACTCTGACTAGGGAATTTAGACTAAACAATCTGATTGAAGATTTTAGACTATTATTTCTCAATGTGGCGATGAGACATTGATGGTGACTTTGGACTTTGATTGAACTTAGAAAACATTTTCATATTATTGGAATGCCTCTGCTAGTGAGACTGATGATTTTGCCTGGACCTCGTAGATGAAGGATGGGATAGTAATGAGTTGAAGTATCTTTGATGGTTCTCTTTCTCGTCATCCTAAACAGACAAGAAGATTAATAAAGCTAGAAATAAATCGCACATTGGAATTATATTATACTTTGGAGACTCTCTTCCTTTAAATAGGGGTTGAGAGTCTATCACCAGTTAGAATGCATTTTTACTAAAGTTGAACTTACCTCAGTGAAACGATGAAGCAGGCTATACTCCTTCTCTAGATTCATAGGGCTTGAAGATTAAGGCTTACAAGCATCTCCTTTTGGATCGTCATCATCTGAAAGCACTAATTTGTGACTCTAATGGTTTTCATTCATTTGCTGATAGCTTCTCTCACTATAAGTATCTTAATCAACTAAGATATCCTCATGATAGTAGTAGAGTCTGGTATAGTTGAGTGAGTGATCATCAGGTCTAATGTCAAGGTACAAAACTCTTTCAAAGCTATCAGGCAACTTTTGGAAATCAAGATCTACAGCAGGTAGTGACTTTGGGCCAAGAAAATCTATAGGATCTGGTAATCTATTATCATAAATTCTAGTAAAATTTAATTTAATCTTTGAAAGATACTTATTTGAGATTTCCTGAGCTGACTGATTTTAGATATCTGCGTCTTCAATATTAAGCAATCTAATGAACTAATCTACTATATTGTCTTGAAAATTCAAGTAATCCCTGAATTCAGGATCATTTTCAATAACCTTGTCTCTTCTTCTCTCAAGGTAATGCAAAAATGGGCATGACTTGGGGTCTCTTTCATAAGCATCGCAATAGCAGTCTCTCAAATAATTCGAGCAGTACTTTGATGTTCCAAATGAACATTTCAAAACAGACCTTGAACCCAACTTCATGCCAACAAGACACTATCTCAATGTAAAATACTATCTATTGATACCTTTATAGCTATGGCTACCTATACTGGGTGCTCATACCAAACATAGACGGCACATTGTCCTTCATAGCAGTCCTTTGGCTAATAGTTAATCCTTAGTCTTTGAACTTTCCCATACAGACCAAAGAACCGGTCGCTCATCAAGAGATTCTCATTAGCATACTTCTGTGGAATGCCGATCACATAGAGTAAGTTTTCTTGTACTATTCTATAAGTAAGCAACTACTCTATTCTTCTGTTGTCACTTGGCTTTATATGCTAAACCTTGATTGGACATCTCTGAATTTTTCTTGAGCAAGTTTTTTTGCCAACTATAGTCGAATATTAGGGAATGCTTAATAGCAAATTATTACTTGAGTTGAGATTTTAGTCTCCAAATCTTTCTGGATACTAATAGAGGTAGACAAGCTCTCCACATCTCAGACATCTTAACTCATCATATTGATTAGTGTCACCTTAGTGATTTCTTGTGCAGTTGAAACATAACTAAAAATTAGTCAATTCATATCTTTAGCAGGGAAATTGTCTCACTTACCTAAATGTTCTTGCACTTGCATCTGGCGAAATGATTGATAGTTGGAAAGTTTAGCTCACAATCATTGCAAGCTGGGAAGGAATTTTTCAGAGAGCGAATCTTAGTCTTACTCTTTTGCTATTTGATCTGCTTCCATGTGCTGTTCTGTCTCATTGTATTGATGATGTTTTAGTTTTATTAAATTTATAATTATATTGCAAATCTGATTAAACCAAGGATATTTATACTGAAGGGGTTTTGGGGTTTTGGGGTTTTGGGGAGATCGGAAGAGCACACGTCTGA